TGCTCCTAAATGGTTAGGCTTTAAGCTTATGCAGTTTCCTCAGCTTTGCCTGAATATTAGAATCACCCGGAAAGCTTTTTAAAACCTTGATGCAAGGCTCCTCTCTTTTTGTTGTTATATCAGAATCTCTGGGGAATTGTTATTTTTAGGTGTCATCCAGCTGACTCTGACTCATAGCAATCCTATGTACAACAGAATAAAATATTGCCTAGTGGGCAAACCTATTGCAAAAAACTCTTCCAAGTGCTGAAGAGCAAGAAAGTTACTCTGAGGAGTGACTTGCCTAACCCAAGCTGTGGTATTTTCAATTGCCTCATATGCATGTAAAAACTGGACAACAAATAAGGAATATAGAACAATTGGTACATTTGAATAATGATGTTGGCAAAGAATTTAGAATGCACAATAATCTGAACCCAGAGGCGCTTGATTTGTGTGTAAATAGAGAAACCTAAAAGCAGAGAGAGCCTTAACTCCGTTTTGAAGCCTTAACATGAATCCACGTTGACTTTTTGAAAGCTGTCTTTCCAAGTGGCAGTTTCTTTACTCTAGTTGTTAGTGCTGACACGGGCTGTGTTCCTCAAGGACAACATTCCTGCTCTCTGAGGTTTTGCCTGTGCAAGATGTCTAATCTATTCCCAAAGTGCCTTTTTCATTATGTTGTTGTTATTTGCTGTCAAGTCGCAACAAGTTCATAGGTGTATAATTTTCATTATAGAAAAAAAGATGCAAGATTTTTCTTATGTACTGTCGTCTTGAAATATGTTTTTTCTAAGTCATTAGAATGGACATGAAAAAAATAGACATGATTGAGGAAGAATAAAGTTACTAGAAAAACTGGTCCTGTCCATAGTCTTGAGACCACCTGATAATAAAATGAGCAGCGTTCAGTGACTTTGACAAATGATGTAATCTCACTTAGATGTTATGGACCTATCCATTCCAAGCTACCCTACTTTTAACTCCCCTGATAATCTTTCAGCTAATTATGAATTTTGTAAGCTTTAGTTCCTGATCCAATATCAGAACTCTTCCTGCTATGTGGTCCTGCATCGTGGCCATTTTCATTCTCTGACAATGTTTCCTCGGCCTCGTCCATCTCTATTGATCCATAAACTCCATTCACTTTTATTTAAGCAGGCTCCATGGTGGTGCTTTATGATACTACAGACTGTCAGAAGAATGAACAACCTGTCATTGAAGAAGTGCAGCCAGATTGCTTCTTAGAGGCAAGGCTGACAAGACTTTGTCTCATGTATGTTAGACATGCCATCAGGAAGACCAATCCCTGGAGAAGGACATCATGCTTGGTCCTTCTAAAGGGTAAGTACACACAAAAATAAGACTCTCAATGAGATGAATTGACACCGAGGCACCTATGGGCTTGAGCACCTATGGGCTTAAGCTCCGTGAATATTGTGAGTGTGGTGCAGAACTGCTCAGAGCTTCGTCCTGTTGCATACCGGGTTGCTCTGAGTCAGGGCTGACTAGATGGCACCTAAAAAGAATAACAACAGACATCGCATACACTCTGGAGCCAAGATTTTGAAACATCAGATTGCTAGGAGCCACTTCAAGCACTTCCTGTGGTAAAGGGAACTCAGAGCTTTCTGGGTGTTTCTTTCTCAGTCTCTGGATCCCAGCCTTCCACTGTTGGTGGACAGATGGAATCGGCTTGGTTTTACCATGCCCTGCAGGGAACCTAGGGTTTTGCTCTGCTCTTCCTGTTGAGGTCATCAGTGTTTGTTTCTTACCAAGAGACCTGGCTCTACCTCCCCTCAGGGGCACAGCCCTGTGCTGATGTTTCTATTTTCAGGCTATCGTGCTGCATTCATAATTAACCCCTGGGAAATACCAAGTAGGTCCCAGTGCTGTTTACCTTTCCGCTCAGGAAACAGATTGGGAGTTCAACAGGTCCAATATCCGAGGGTCCCCAAAGGCTAATTATACAGATGACACATATTTTTTTTAAAAAAATATCTGACTTCCCTGAGTTGAACAGGGAGCTCAGGGTGGGATTTTCCAGAGGTCACATCATCACCCTGCCCTCTCTTCATTTCTGAGGTTGGAAATTTTGTTCCAGGCACAAACCCAGATCTTTCTACATGAAATGTGAGTGGCCCTGCCTCAAGTCCCTCTGGCAGAATGGGGGTGAGGGGGGAAGAGTAGGAGGAATGGAAAAAGAAAAGCAGACCAAAAACATCTGTGAAGAGCAATGTGACCCTTAGAATGGATCTATGAAAGCAAAATGAAAAAGGAAAGATTTGAAAGGGGAAATTACGTGGAACTGAAAATTTAAAACACAAATAAAGGATCCCGAAAATGATAATTCTTTGTCTTTGAAAATTGGGGCAATGGGAATTTTTTCTACTAAAAATTAGTAGGATTAGTGTCAGCTCTTCTCTGAATGTTCCCTAAAAATCTATTTCTCCTAGGGTTTCAAGTAAGTTAGAATACAGTTACTCATAGTATTCTGGTATCTGAGTTTTCCAGTTGATTCTGTTGTCACATTGCCTATTTAATTTCTTATTTGTGCTATTTATGTCTTCTCCTATTCCCTTTTTAAATTTGCCAGTGGTTTGCCAATTCTATTCATCTGTTCAAAGAACTAAGTTCTAGTTGTATTAATTCTTTCTATTGGTTTTTTCTGAATTAAAGGCAACAAAGGTAAATACTATTAAATACAAAATCTTATAATACCAATGATGCAATAATCTATAAGTAGATGCATAGATGGACGCACAAGCTGAAGAGTGAGGAGGTGAAGGCCGCTAACATCTTGGATCTACATCATTTTGACAAAGGCTACTTCTACGTATGTATTAATGTGTGCTGAAAAGATATCCATTAATATAACATACAAGAAGCAAAGTTATTAAAACTTCTCAGCCTTAACCAAACACCTTGAGGAATTAAGTTGCTGGGGCTGAGAGCCTTGGGACCATAGTCTCAGGGGTCATCATCAACTTGTATTACATAGTCCATCCACATAGACAATAGTCTACATCCTATTTTGGTGACTGGAGTCTTAACATTTTATAAGCATCCTTCTAAGGTGAAACTGTTAAAATTTCCCTCATCATAAAAAAAGAATAATGAACATAATAAGATTTATATAAATATAAACTATTAGTCCAAAATATAATGGACAATGTGAACCTTAGCATCTATGACCCTGAGACCAGAAGAACTAGACAGTGTTGGGTTGCCATTGTCAACTACTCTAAAAGTGGCCACCATAGGAGGCTCTAGATAGAGTGGAAGACAAATGTAGAACAAAACTAAAAATAATTTTAAAATCCAACCCAGTCTTAATGGTTATAGAGACAAGTAAAACCCAAAGATTATGACTCTTAGTCATTAACTCTTTAAGTCACTTCTGTGACTTAACTTTCAGACAAATAATATACTTATAACATGACTAATAACACAAGCGTAGATACAATTCCTAGAACAATCTATCATAAGAGACTGAATGGAAGCATCTGCTTAGGGATAAAACAGAGAAATCAGGAATGGATAGTAATTCCTGGATATGAAGTTGGATGGAAATTGTAAGCTCAAGGCTTTGGGAAGAATGCAGTCACATTGTAGAAATTGCATCTCAAGTTACAAATAAAAATGTGTGTGAATTGTTGAATTGAAAACCATTTTGCTTTGTAAAATTTCACCCAAGTTATAATAAATTTTTTTAAAAAAAAGATTAATACAAGCTTTGGGTAGGGATAGGAAAATGTGCAACGATGAATGTATAGAAATACAAGTTTTCTGTAAACTTGTTAAAATCACAAAAAAATTATTTATAAACAATATGTCTTTTAAAAATATTTGCAAAGAATATATCATTGGCTGTATGAAATTCTATCATGCAATCTTCCAGTCTTATTTCTGTCACAAAAGCCATATTTTCCCACTAAGTCTTCTTTTATCTCCAAGTTTTGCATTACTATCATTAAGTATTATCAATTCATGGTGATTGTATATTCAATTAAATTAAGACAGCAAAAGCTGACATTTCTTCACTTTGATTTTGGAGGAAGACTATAGCAGTTTCCCCCAGGCCTGAACACTTCTTGAGAAACCTGATAACATCTGACAGAGACACCACCAGAACAGAAACCAGTCAATTGCTATACTACCCTAAACATGCAGATGTCCTCTCATCTCTGAAGCTAAGCAGGATCTGGCCTGGTTAGTACTTGGATAGGAGACACCCTGCGAATACCACGTACCCGTATCAGGAGCAGACCTTCTTCTTGTGAAGACAGAAGAAATTTTTAATAGACTGCTTCACCACCTTCTCGCGAACAACTACCCAAGAACACATGCAGGTGATGCTCTTCCTTCAGACCTTACAGGTAGACAATGTTCCTTCTTTAGACCTTATAGGAAAACCCTTCTCTGTGTTTTGTATACAGCATAGATTCAGTCTTTTACATTGGCAATATGAATTTTCTTCTGCTTTGAAAATGAATAACTTTCTAGTTTTTAAGTTCTTGAGGTTATTTCAATCCATAAATAAACAAAAAGTTTATAAGGAAGTCATTATTAATCTTAAAATGAGTATTAAAAATTATTAGCTTCAGTAAAGAAGTATTAGTTTCTAGACACCCTAAGTGCCTTTTTATGGGATTTTTTCATAGATGATTACTGTTTGTTTATGAATTTAGCCTTTAAAAATGGATGTTTTCTTAACTGATAGTACAAATTTAAATTATAAAATAAGATTTCTCCTTTTGGAATTTTGGTGTGAGTCATACTGCTTTTTCATATTACAATTTTCTTGGACTTAAGTATTTTTTTATTCAGCTGTTTTGTAATAAAAATTCCATTACATGAAGGAACTATATGATAAAGAATAGTACTATATAGAATTATATGATAGAGAATGTTTTTCCATTTCACATCAGGTTTTTAATTTCTTTTAAAAGATGTTTTGAATTAGAGTTCTCATTTTCCTTCTGCTCCTTTAAATGCATAAATTCTGTCTGTCTCTGCAGGACTTCCTCATTACACAGTTGACTGGAAAAGAGCTCTTTGAGATTTGGAAGATTGTAAATCCCATGGGACTGCTGATGGAAGAGTTACAGAAGAGGAAGGTTTCTGCTCCTGAGTGTAGACTCACCCGGCAGTCGGGGAGCACCACAGCGCTGCCTTTATATTTTGTTGGTTTGTACTGGTCAGTAGCATTTTACTCCATACTGCTTAGTTCAAAGATGTTGACATTTGCACTGCTGTGATTATTGATTTACTTACCTATAGAATGCCATTCTGAGAAAAAGGTAAGTGATCTGTAGCTTGCCAGAGTACTTTTTCTCAGCTAATTGTTCAGTGTAGCATTTTAGGGAGTACATGTTAGCTTACATTTATCTGTATGAAAACGAGTTTTGATTCCTATGTGTTTTAGATTTAACTGCAATCACATCTTATCCTCAGACTCAGCTAAAAAAGAAACTAAAAAAGGAAGGATTTGCTTGTCTATTAAAATATGTAAATTAACCCAGATTGAGCAGCTTTTTATGTTGGTAAAAAGCAGGCCTACCCCTAATTATTAAATGCAGTCATTGAATTTCTTAAAATAAATTTTAGGATAATAAGTTTCCAGAAAGTAATTAAATATAATTAGAAAGAGTGTGTACATTTTGTACTTGTAAACATTGAGGATTATTATTGTTTAATTTACAGCATTTGCTCCCTTACAGAAACATTTTTATGTTTTCGAAGAAACATTACTTATTATAATAGGCATACCAATAAAGCAGAGAAAATATTTTGCCTTTTAGAACAGAATACTAGTCAGCATTTTACTCACTAATTGCCCTTGAGTTGGAACTGACTCCTAGCTGACCCTCCAGCAGGTTTTCAGAGGCTGTAAATTGCATGGGAGGAGATTGCCCACTTTTCTCCTTCGGAGCAACTGGTGTATTCAAACTGCCTGCCTTTGGTTTGGCAGTGCAACTCCTTACCCTCTAGGCTACCAGAGCTCTCTAATTAAAATTTGTTGTGACGTGCCATTGAGTTGAAACCAACTCATAGCTGGCTTTGCAGAGAGCAGTAAGGAAGGGTAGGAGGGGATTTTAAGACGCCGTAAGTGGTGTGGGAGGAGGTTACGCAGCTTTCTTTCAGAACAGGTGGTGGATTTGAACCACGTGTTTTTGGTTTGGCAAGGGGTCTCCTTATGCCCCAGAGCTCTTAATGTCAATATTTAGTAGGGATTTATTGTGCTACCATCATAAGGTAGAAATTAGGGTGTGAGTTTTAAATATGCAGAGTAAATTTACTCCTTCCCTTAAATGTCAGTAAGATTTTGCAGGACAGTATCTCCTAATTTAAAGTATTTAACTAATTTCTGATTTGTTTTAAAGTTTATGTGGCATACCTGGATAACATATTTTATTCCAGCCAAATCTTTTTTCAATTTTTTTTTACTGTGAGCTTTTTTTTTATTAATGATTTTTTAATGCAACACATACATATTTTTTACAGCATATTCTTTCCATTTAATTTTTTCCCCATTCATTGTTGCACATTTTCCTCCCTGCCTACCCCTCCCCCCAGTTTGTTCTTTTTGAAAATTTAAAAAAATTCTTTCATTGTTATACAGTCCCCCCAAGTCCACATTACTATTGCATTTCTTTTTCTGTAATTTTGTCGTGAAAATAATACCTAATCTTATATTCCTTTTAAATAGTTTTCTCCCTCATATGTTTCAATGCAGTATACATTATTTATCCTCTCTTTTCTTAGGTTCTCCCTAACCCCAGTGTCAGTCCTGTTTTACAACAGTGGCACTATGCAGTATTTGTCCTTTTGTGACTGAGATATTTCACTCAGCATAATGTTCTCCAGGATCACCCATTTTGTATAATATTTCATGAGTTTTTTGCTTTTAATGCAGCATAGTATTTCATTGTGTGAATATACCAGAACTTCTCTGTCCATTCATTTGTTGATGGGCACTTAGGTTGTTTTCACCTTTTTGCTATTGTGAACAAAGCAGCAGTAAACATGGGTGTGCATATATCTGCTTGTGTGGCAGTTATGGTCTCTTTGGGGTATGTTCCCAGTAGTGCAGCGGCTGAATCAATTGGTATTTCTAGTTCCAACTTTTTGAAAAAGTGCCGTACAGTCTTCCATGGTGGTTATACCATTTTACAATCCCACCAATAGTGAATCAGTAGTGAATAAGGGTTCCAGTTTCCCCACAACTTCATGAGCATGTGCTGTTTGCTGCTCTGTTGAATTTTGCTATTCTTACTGAGGTAAGATGATATCTTGTAGTTGCTTTGCAGCCAAACTTTAATCAAGTAATATCATGAATTCAGAATGCAGTCATACACACACACATGCTCTCTCGCCATCCCTTCCTCTCTCTCCCTCCCTCCCTCTTTCCCTCCCCCTTCCCCCCAGGTAATCTTACCAGAGTTTATTTCTATTTCTGTGAAAATACTAATTTTTTTTTGTCTAGCTGCTATATGTATATATAGTGAATTTGCAAAGAATCAGTTAAAAACTGAAAGATAGTATTTCTATAAAATTATTTTTTTAAAAAAAAAAAAGATCGTATACCTGAAGACATTTGCATTATTTCAGGTTGATCCTGTGCCAGATAAAACTTAAAGGCATAACTGATTTGCATTCCGAGTTTGTGATGCCCTGTATAACTGAAGACTTCTGCTTGTTTTCTCATTAGTGATAAGAAGTTGATTGCAGAGGGGCCTGGGGAGACAGTGCTGGTTGCCGAAGAAGAAGCTGCCCGCGTGGCCCTCAGGAAACTGTACGGCTTCTCTGAGAACAGGCGGCCCTGGGACTACTCCAGGCCCAGAGAGAAGCCCAGAGCAGAGAAGACCATCACTGCCCACTGACAGCCGGGCACGTGGCGCAGGAAACGATGGGACAGCCATCCAAGATGTCCAAAATCTAGACGGTTCCGAACTGTAGAGAGCTGTCTGATTCTCCACTGTGGCTCTTTGGAGATGAGACAGAGCGGGCACATTCACGGTGGTATGGCCGCAGGCCCACTGTGAGTTCTTAAATAAGTGCTCCTCAGATAACCTTGGGTTGGAATTGTCTCCATGGCAACCGGTTTGCTTTTTTAGTTTGTTTTTGTTTTTCAGTCAGGTACTATTTTGTTTGTTTTTTTAAATGACTTTCTTCAGTAAAATCAAACCACCCCCTTTTTTTAAAAAAAAAACCCAAATCTTCCCTAAAGCCCTTGATGATTGTTGTATGTGATTTGTTCTCACCAGTACCAAACCTGATCCTGACCCATGGTGACCCATAGGACAGAGTAGAATTGTCCCACGGAGTTTCAAGACATAGGTCTTTACAGACGCTGATTGGCATATTTTCTCCTGTGGAGAGGCTCGTAGTTGAAACTGCTGATCTTGAGGTTGGCAGCCAAGTACTCTAATCACAGTGCCACCAGGATTCATAACTTGTGCAGTTAGGTGTATTTTCTTTCTCTCTAGCTGTGAGGTATTACACTTTGTAGATATATTTTGCTTGAGCTTTGCTGTATAACCAATACAAAAGTTACTTTTCCCTCAAAATACTATAATTTAATTATACTATAGTGTAATTTAATTTGAGATGCCCAAGAATGTCAGAAGCTTGATAACTTTGCCTCTCTTACAGCATTCACCAAAATAACGGTGTTGTAAATCCTCAAGAAAAGGAAGTGATTAGCATCTCTCTAGATTCTGTCTATAATTGTGAGAACTTCTAATAAATTTATTGGATAATTAACTTTCTGTGAAATAATGGATTTCCTATTAATGATGTGAATTAATACACAGAAGAGGTAAATTTTATACCTTGAGGAGTTACCTTTTTTCTTTCTTTTTAGTTTTTTGTGTGCTGTTCAATCAGATCCAACTGGCACAGGAGGAGATTGTCCCTCCTTCTCCAGCTGAGCATCTGGTGGATTCGAACCACACTCCTTTGGGATTGCAGCACCGCTTCTTGCCACTAAGCCACCAGGGCTCCCTAGAAATTACCTTTTCTAAGAAAATTCAAAAGCAGCTGAAAAACGATGCTGATGTACATTAGTGGTTAAGTGTCCAGGTGCTAACTGGGAGGTTGGCAGTTTGAAGCCACCAGCTGCTCCACAGAAGAAAGATGTGAGTCTGTGTTCATAAAGTGTATATACACCCTTGGAAACCCTGTGGTGTGGTTCTCTATCTTACAAGGGCCTTACAGGTTAGAGTAGGTCTGGTGACGGTGGCCTTTTTTTTTTTTAGTAATTTTATGAAAATTTACAGAGACTTTGGATTTCAATTCATTCATTGTTACACTTTTTTTTTTTATTATTATTAAATTTTATTAGTTTCAATGAACATTCACAGGGATTCTGGGCTTTCACTCCTTCATTGCCGCACCATTCTCTCCACCCTCCTCCCCAGTTTGTTCTTCTTCCCCGCCATCCGAATGTCTGTTTTAATTGTCCAATTGCCACAGTGCTTGTCAAAGTCAGTTCTGATTAATCTCCTTTGTCAGTGTGTCCTTTGCCATTCCCTATCACTTCTCCCTGAGAGAGACTTCACCCTGATTCATAAGGAAAAGGGGACGGCTTATTCTCTTAGCTACTTCCTGCTGAAAAGGGACGCTGTGGGTTTCAGGGTGAAGATCTTCTCTCACTACTCTAAAGGGCCCCTTTGGCAGTAGGAAGCACAGACTATTATGGAGATTGATTTTGGAATTTAGATGCACTCTTATTGATTGTGCTTGGCCGTACATGTTCATATCCTTGAAGATGTATCATGGGGGTGTTGCAACCTTTCTCCTGCCAGGTTAGTTCCTCAACAGCTCGCCTGATAGCTCCGGGTGATGTCTGGATCCAAGGTGGTACCCTGAGGTCACAGGGCTGTGGTGGGGGTTGAGATGCCTGGTTGTGGAGCTGCAAGGGGTGTGGGGGAAGGGGAGGAAAGCAAGGGACTAGGGGGCAAGGAGCGCAGGGGTTGGACACTATCACCAAGAGGTCCGGACGGGGCTTGGGTGCTGCTGGGGGTTTATGCAGCAACACCCTGTGTGTTAAGGGTCACACAGGTGTGGGTTGCAGGGGGGTCACACAGTGTCCCGTAGTCTTCAGTCCTCTGGAGTTCCGCGGTAGGTGGCTGGCTGTTGTTCTTCCCGGGTCTCTTCCAGGTCCCTCTAATGGCGTTCCCCTGTCTGGCGGCCTCGCCCTCGCGCTGCGTCGCCCTCGCGCTCCATTGTTACACTTTTCTCCCTGCCCACCCCTCCCCCTCAGTTCATTCTTCTCTTTGAAAAGTAAAAGAAAAATTCTTCCATTGTTATACAATCGCTCCCCTTAAGTCCACTCCACTGTGCAGCCTTCATTCTAGACTCCTGTCATGACAATAATACCTAATACTGTATCCCCTTTAAACAGTTCTCTCCCTCATCTGTTTCAGTGCAGTATACATAATTTATCCCACCTTTCTCATTCTCCCCCAACCCTGATGTCAGTCCAGTTTCACAACAGTGGCACCATGCAGTATTTGTCCTTTTGTGACTGAGATCTTTCACTCAGCATAGTGTCCTCCAGGGTCACCCATTTTGAATACTATTTCATGAGTTCCTTGTTTTTCAATGCAGCATAGTATTCCATTGTGTGAATATACCACAGCTTTTCTATCCATTTGTTTGTTGATGGGCACTTGGGTTGTTTCCAGCTCTTTGCTATTGTGAACAAAGCCACAATAAACATGGGTGTGCAGGCAGTCAGTGGCTTTAATGCAGGTGTACTGTTAGAAAATTCTGATCTTTAGAAGTTGGATTTAGTAACCTAGGATTACAATAATAGCTACCGTGGGCCAAACACTGTTTTAAGTATCCCACGGGTGCCAAAGGCATGAGTGTGTTTAAATCGGGGAAGGACAAGCCTTAACTGCGTGACCTTCTGGTTCTTTACTCCTTTGCCCTTTCCACTGCTGAGTCCCTTTGATTAGTTCTTTTTTACTTTTGGCAAGAGTGAAAAGTTCCCGTTTGCCAGTTGTCACTGTCAGTTTAAAGAGAAATAATGTGGGACGTGGGACTTGGTAGTTGAGAGTAGGAAAAAAAGAGAAGAAAGGTCACATGTTAAAAGTGGACAGCAGTTTTGCCATGAATTTTTTTATAAAGGAAGATGAAGAAAAGTATTTCAGGGCCTTTGAAATTGCTTTCCTGAGCCAGGTGAGGAGAGAGGGACTTAGAGGGCCAGAGGTGTCAGGCTGCCATGGGTGAAACAGACCGTGGAGGGGATGTGTGAGGAACACCCAGTGGACCTGGCAGATTAAATGCTCTTTCATCTTTCTTTGTGTTGGTGTCTGTGTCCTTAGAAGTGAGTTAACAAGTCCTAGAAATTGAACTCGGAAGACCTATGCATAGTGGAATGTACTTGGGGTGGTGGGAGGGGTGCAGGGGGATTGTGTACCAGGGAGGGAGTGTTTATTTTACTTTTCAACGAGAGGAGTGAACTGAGGTGGGAGGGAGGGCTGGGCGGGGAGAGAAGTGCAGCAGTGAATGAATGGAAATCCAAAATCTCTGTAAATGTTCATTAAAATTATTAAAAAAAAATTTAAAAAAAAAGAAGGAAGACCTAACCCGCCTTGGAATGCTGTTTCCCTCCATCATCCACCAGTAAATGTGCTCTGATAAGCAGCTCTTTGATGTTTGAAGAAAGTTTCTGAGATATAAAGTTAGAAAACTAGATACTAGTTAGAAAACTATTACCACCCCCTGCCCTTTTTCGTGGGTGAATGTTATTTTTAAATGTCTTGACAGAATTCAGTTGCAAATTCAGTCATTTCCCCCAGCCTCCCAAGTAGTGATGATACTCTGATCCCACATTTCTCCAGTCAGAGCTGCTTCAGGACCTTCACCTACTAAAGACAAATTATCCTTCACTGATGGTTTTCCAGTTTCTGAACCTGGTTTTCTGATTTGTAAATCAAATGTTTCAAATTGACAAGGTCTGCATCTTGTAAAGAAAGTGTTTTCAACAAAACTGTTAAATCATGTTTAAAATCATCCAGTACAGATTGCTGCCACCAGAGGGCGTGCTCTGGACCGGATTTTGCTTGTGGATGCAGATGCTTAAAGTTTCCAAGTTGAACAGAGGACCCTTCAGCAAAAGGGACATGCTTGTTCCCTCAGAGTATTGGTTTGGTAGGGATGGGCAAATCAGTAGCGTATCTAAAAAGGGCACAGTAGGGTATGAGGCATGAGGTAGCTGGCTTACACACTTTCATGAAAGTAGTTCTTTAGAAGGCGATTGTAAGGGGGAAAACGATCTTAATTTGGAGACTATAAGGTGCGCCTGATACAGGCCATGGTCTTTGCAGTCACTTGCTATGCATCAGAGAGCTGGACAGTGACTAAGGATGATAGGAGAGTTGATGCCTTTGAGCTGTGGTGCTGGAGAAGAGTACTAAATATACCATGCACTGCTAAGAAAACAAACAGGTTTGTTCTGGAGATGGTGAGACCAGTCTGCTCCTTGGAGGCAAGGATTCTGAAACTTCGTCTGACATACTTTGGACATGGTGCAAGAAGGGACCAGTCCTTGGAGAGGAATGTCATGCTTGGGGGGGTTGGGGGGAGGGGACAGCGCAGGAGTGGAAGACCCTCTATGAGGTGGATTGATTCAGTAACTGGGGTAATGGGGTTAAGTGTGTCAGAGACAGTGGGATTGGCATAGGATAGAGCAGGGTTTAGGGCTGTTGTACTTAGGGTTCCTATGAGTCACCAGTGACTCAATGGCACATAACAATAACAACAACAGTATAATGTAAAACACTATAAAAGCATATGAGTGGTAAAAATAGTAATTAAAAATGTAAAAAAAAAAGTATAGTGGACTGGAATGTAGAAACCATGATGCATT